AGACGGCGTATATAATGAGGGTCGCGCCCCTTTGTATACTTTTATGTTTCGGCAGCAATTGTGCTACTTTGTCATCCAACCTGTCTCTATGAGGCATAATATATTAAAAAGTCTATATGTGAAGAAAACACTTTCCTTGGCCTACAGAGCGACATCATTAAGATATATCGATGGCGTTTATCAGTTACCAATAGCTATTTCCATTTATACGTCGACTCAATTAATTCCAGTGCACGATGACTGCCACTTCTGTTTCACATTAGGGATGCTTTATTGATTATAGACGACAGAGGCCAACTAACAGATAATTTTTTTTAAATTACTTTAGGTTTTCTATTATCAACATTCGTAATATATATAGTAATATTTCACTATCACCTGCAAATATGGTGTTACATTTCCTAAATACTCAAAAGGTTGATCAGAACATGATCAATTTTTAATCTGAAGCAGATTACTCACACAAAAGTTGGCGTTACATAGATTTATACATTCTCAATTAAAATCAGTATTTCGTAAATTCTAAGGTTGATATACTTTTAATTATCATTGGGTCGATGTTTGGCAGTCTTGCGAGATACCAATTTTAGTTTTTTTTTTTATATACTAAATTTAAAAAACTTGATGTCCCGTCTCCTTAATCAATACAGTGGCTCAAGTGATCAGTCAACTGGGGATACTTACTCCTCCTGGCAACTGATCCTACCTCCGGAATTTACGGTTTTGAATTTTTTCTCAGTATATGCTCTAGAAAAGAAGAATTTCTCTAATGTTCTGTGGTTTTATACGTGACCGGAAAAGTCCCATTTTTGGGTGTAAAATATTTTGTTGGACCAAGGGGAAAATTATGTATCTCAATATGGGCAGGGCTATCTGCTAATTGTTTCATATTTATGAGCATTTGTAAAATTTTAGAATATTAAAATTTTGTAATATAAACTAACATAGCTATAAAGCCTACATTCCAAAATATTTGACAAAGGGCAAATGCATTGTAGCTCACTGTTATCCTCTACATCATGTCAATGAAGCAAAAAAATATGATTTCCAAAGACAAAATGCATTTTCAATATACACGAATAAACAATATTCTAGTTATACAAATTTAACCCTTAACTTTGACCTTTTGCAAACATGGTTTACCAAACTTTAACCTTGCTTAAGTAATTACTTTTGAACGTTTAGGATTAGGGTTCTTATTTTCATATGAACATGTATATTCCTTGCGTTCACATCTTTTCTCAGCCGCCTATATTTTTGGTATTTCGAACTATAGAGTTTGACGTACGTTCGAAAAGCTTAAAATTTAAGGCCGGTATACACGGTAAGATTTGTATTATAAGAATTGTATTATAATACAAAATCTTACTGTGTATACACTCTTAATACAGTGTATCATAAGATTTTTCGAATCTTATAAAACTGTATTAAGAATAGAGCAATGCTCTATTTTCTAATACAAGTCTCAGCTTACCTATCACTTTCAACCAATGAAATGTAATGACACTAGGGGTCATCCTATTTTTATCATTACTAAAAAAAAAAACACATGGTAAATAATTATGATAGACTTTACAAGTAAAGACATCGAAAAATTCGTGGCTTAATGGGAAGGGGAAAAGAACTTGTGGAATACATAAAGCAGTGCATAGTACGATAGACACTGCTATCCAAGCATCATCCTTCGTTTTTATTACTTTGACAGAGAGAGAAATATGGCGGGGAAAACACGTTGGAATACGTAGTTTATTTACAATCTTATAAGATATGTATTAGCGTGAGTACAGGAAAATATTATAATACAAAAGTATTATAATACTTGCATTATACTACAAATCTCATCGTGTATACCGGCCTTAAGTGATAACTTTTGACCAGTTGATGCCAGAACTGTCAAATATCACACAGGTACATATTATTTAAAGGACTTTCGTTGGTATCCACGTTTTAACCTCAAGACCATAGAGTCAGATCTACATTTTGAAAACAATTAATCATGTCTATGTCTTCCAACTTTTGAATGGCTGCTGCTAGGACGTACATTTTTACTTATACCTTTCTTGTACAATACCATTTTTTAAAATACTTCATGACATTGACCTTGGAGTTTGACCTCTTCCAAAGAAGAGAAGTATTAACCTTGACTGTATTTTTTATAGAGATAACCATAAATGTATTATACTTTAAATTCATATTGTTTGTAACGAAACCTTTTACTTGGTTTCAATGTTTTTGAACCCTTGCCCTTGACCTACATTTGAAATACTTTAACCTTGACTTTGAGCTGCCATGCCTTTTTACTAAGCAAAATGTGTGATTGATTTGATAGACATTTCTTGTATTTACTCACAAGTAGAAATGTACCTTGAGATTGTTTAAGTCTACACAGACGTTTATACACATACAAAAGGGTCAAACCTTTATTATTAATATGCCGTTTTTGAAAATGTAATTAATACGAAATGGGGTTTGTTTTGTACAAGAAATATATTGGAGGCACATACTTGCATGAAGTGCTAACGAGATTCATGCTTACAAAATGCCTGTGGGATTTATACATCAGATTTATGAAAACAATATAGACGTAATATGGTTCCACACTCATGCCCCCAAATGGGAGAAAAGAGATAGACAGACCAAGACAAAAACACTATATGTCCCGAATATTTTATTTCAGGAGCATATAGATTTTCTACAAATACTTTATAACATATACATAACATATATATAACAAAAAATGGCTCTAATTAGTGCTTTAGTCATTATGATTACAAAATATTTCCATCCTGGAAAAGAAAATTTCAAAAAAATTATGTTTTTTGAATGTTTTATTTTTAAAAATGCTTCAATCCTTAATATCTACTGTACACAATTTTTCCTGGTATCCAAGGATCGTGTGATTATGCGTACACAATGTACCCAGTCTCTACCTCTGTCTCTATATCACTAAACCCAGGATCTACTAATCAAGTGTACACAATGTACCCAGCCTCTATCTCTGTCTCTATATCACTTATCCCTGGATCTACTGATCAAGTGTACACAATGTAGAAAGTCTCTATCTATGTCACTACATCAATGTACACAATATACCCAGTCTCTACCTATGTCTCTTTATCACTGTACACAATGTACAAAGTCTCTACCTATGTCACTACATCACTGTACACAATATACCCAGTCTCTACCTATGTCTCTATATCACTGTACACAATGTACAAAGTCTCTATCTATGTCACTACATCACTGTACACAATATACCAAGTCTCTACCTATGTCTCTTTATCACTGTACACAATGTACAAAGTCTCTATCTATGTCACTACATCACTGTACACAATATACCAAGTCTCTACCTATGTCTCTTTATCACTGTACACAATGTACAAAGTCTCTACCTATGTCTCTATATTGCTGTACACAATGTACCAAGTCTCTACCTATGTCTCTATATCACTGTACACAATGTACAAAGTCTCTATTTCTGTCTCTATATCACTTATCCCAGGATCTACTGATCAAGTGTACACAACGTACCCAGTCTCTACCACTGTCTCTATATCACTGTTAACAGTATAACCAGTCTCTACCTATGTCTATATATCACTGTACACAATGTACAAAGTCTCTATCTATGTCACTACATCACTGTACACAATATACCAAGTCTCTACCTATGTCTCTATATCACTGTACACAATGTACAAAGTCTCTACCTATGTCTCTATATTGCTGTACACAATGTACAAAGTCTCTACCTATGTCTTTTTATCACTGTACACAATGTACAAAGTCTCTATCTATGTCTCTATATCACTGTATACAATGTACAAAGTCTCTACCTATGTCACTACATCACTGTACACAATGTATCCAGTCTCTACCTATGTCTCTATATCACTGTACACAATGTACAAAGTCTCTATCTATGTCTCTATATCACTGTACACAATGTACAAAGTCTCTACCTATGTCTCTATATCACTGTACACAATGTACAAAGTCTCTACCTATGTCACTACATCACTGTACACAATGTACCCAGTCTCTACCTATGTCTCTATATCACTGTACACAATGTACAAAGTCTTTATTTCTGTCTCTATATCACTTATCCCAGGATCTACTGATCAAGTGTACACAACGTACGCAGTCTCTACCTCTGTCTCTATATCACTGTAAACAGTGTAACCAATCTCTACCTATGTCTATATATCACTGTACACAATGTACAAAGTCTCTATCTATGTCACTACATCACTGTACACAATATACCAAGTCTCTACCTATGTCTCTATATCACTGTACACAATGTACAAAGTCTCTACCTATGTCTCTATATCATTGTACACAATATACACAGTCTCTACCTATGTCACTACATCACTGTACACAATATACCAAGTCTCTACCTATGTCTCTTTATCACTGTACACAATGTACAAAGTCTCTATCTATGTCACTACATCACTGTACACAATATACCAAGTCTCAACCTATGTCTCTATATCACTGTACACAATGTACAAAGTCTCTATCTTTGTCACTACATCACTGTACACAATATATCAAGTCTCTACCTATGTCACTACATCACTGTAAACAATATACCAAGTCTCTACCTATGTCTCTTTATCACTGTACACAATGTACAAAGTCTCTATCTATGTCACTACATCACTGTACACAATATACCCAGTCTCTACCTATGTCTCTATATCACTGTACACAATGTACAAAGTCTCTATCTATGTCACTACATCACTGTACACAATATACCCAGTCTCTATCTATGTCACTACATCACTGTACACAATATACCCAGTCTCTACCTATGTCTCTTTATCACTGTACACAATGTACAAAGTCTCTATCTATGTCACTACATCACTGTACACAATATACCCAGTCTCTACCTATGTCTCTATATCACTGTACACAATGTACAAAGTCTCTATCTATGTCTCTATATCACTGTACACAATATACCCAGTCTCTACCTATGTCTCTACATAATCTTTCCCAGCATCTTCTGACATTCCTCCAGCTTCTGACTCAAGTTTTCCTGTACCATCCTGAATATAGAATAATTCTTATTAATTTTCAAAAGAAAAAAAATTATACGCTGTAACAATAACAAGTTGATTCGGAAAAATCTGTGTCTCTCGCTAAAGGAAACCAGAAGTCTAAGATGAGACTGTAGCTCTAATGGTCTGTAGTATACGCATAAAAAAGTGGCACTTGGATTTTAAACTTTGTAACAGGCAGCGATAGATTCTTGTGTCTTAATGTAATCTACTCATGTGTCAAGTTACTGAGTATATTGAAATCATGCCAAAACTATGTGTAGGAAGAGTAGCATTTCATAAGTATTTCTAATAATTGTCCAATAAATCTACCATACCAACAACATTCACTAAAACGAAAATCTACCGTATAAGTGGATTTTATTTTTAGCTAGAAGTAATTTTAGCGATTATAAAATGCTCACGTCTGTAGCTATGATAACTACAATGCAATCAATTTTGGCGATTTTAATTTTAGCGATCTTAGCACCGTTGCTAATAATGCCAAAATTAAATCCTCGCTAAAATTCTCCTTATACGGTATACGGTATATACTCTATTTTGCATCATAGATTAGTCTAATTGTGTGCCAAGTTATACTGGAATAAAATCAAAACTTTTCGAGGATTAGCGTATTAATTGAATACACAGAAATTACTTTTTTAGCAACCATGGCAACACTGTTTATTCAAATCAAAAACTTATGCACTAAATCATGTACCTTAGTGTATTAAACGTGTGTCAAGTTATATTGATTGATTAATTGATTGTTTACTGTTTAACGTCCCTCTTCAGAATATTTCACTGATATGGAGACGTCACCATTGCCGGTGAAGGGCTGCAAATTTTGGCCTATGCTCGGCACTTAAGGCCTTTGAGCAGGGAGGGATCTTTATCGTGCCACACCTGCTGTGACACGGGGCCTCGGTTTATACGGTCTCATCCGAAGGACCGCCCCATTTAGTCGCCTTTTACGACAAGCAAGGGGTACTGAGGACCTATTCTAACCCGGATCCCCACGGGGCCAAGTTATATTGAAATCAAAACAAACTGTAGGAGGAGAAGTGTTTTGAAAAATTGCCCAGAAACGGACGGATGATGAACACCTTACTATCGCATATATACAAAGTTCTTCTGGTCTCCGCCCGGTAGGGTTAAAAAGAAGAAAGAAGAGACAATAAGGGGGGGGGGGGGGGGGTAGGGAAGGTGTGACAGGCGGGACAATTGGGAGCTATAGTATAAAATTTAATTACAACTGCAAATCAAGTCTTCTTGAGATATCCCCGAAAATTGAAGTTTTACATAAAAACAAATTTTTCTTTGAATTGATGACCTTGACCTTTGACCTCAAAATAAAATAGGATCTTTCTTAGGCTAGGGACTTATTCTATACCATTTTATTGAAAATGTTTACAGGGTTTTCGAGAGAGATGCCTTTAGGAAAGTCTTACATACGGGCAGCTGACAGATGGAAAGACATACAGACTGAAATTAATAATACCCCCCCCCCCCCGGGACATAAAAACGATACAAGTCACCTGGTCCAATGGAGACATATTTTGTTTTACAAAATCAATTTGAATGTGCATAATATGTATATAAAATAAATCAGGCAACTGATTTTTATTTTGTGTAAAACAGGATTTACAAAAATAATCTCACTCAGGTGTTAAAGTCAGTATGATTGAATTTACATTGTCTAACGCCCTTCTCGAGAATTTTTCACTCATATGGAAACGCCGCCACTTGCAGTGAAGAGCTGCAAATCTCATTTGTCCTATACTCGGCACTCAGGGTCATTGATCAGGGAGGGAAATTTTTCGTGCCAGCACCTACTGCGGCACTGGACCTCTGTTTATACGATCTCATCCTAAAGACTGGCCTCAACGTCGCACAGTGGGATTCAAACCTGTTATGTTAGGATCAACTCCTTACTTCGCGATTCTAGAGCAGACACTCTTACCAATGCCCCATACACGCATCTAGCCTCAATGTGACAACTTCAAGAGAAAAATCAATTAATGCAGCAGTTATCAGTTTGTCTATTTATTTTTATAAAAAACAAATTATTATGTTCTCATCTACCCAGCTTCAAATCAAATGACATACATGTAGCAAAACAAAGAACTATCTGCGGTATGTTGCATATATTTGCCCCCACAGAAGTCAAATTTTGAAAACTTCCTGAAATGTGCTGATTTCAATAAATTGTATGAGAAATATAAATAAACAGAAAATACTATAGTTTCAAAGTAGTACATTCACAATTTTTGATTTTATGACGTCACAAACTAGTCCGATTTTATATTCTTTTTCAGAAAGAAGACAAAATGGACAAAATTTCAACAATTTTAGCTTTGAAATTTATAGAGCGCATGTGTGTTCAGGAACAATATTGACTCATTTCATTGATATTATCATTCTACACATTATATCAAAATATTCATCCTGAACACGCATGCGCTCGGTGACTTTTACTCAAAATGTCGACGAAAAATGTACATTTTTCTGTAAAATTCATAAAAAGATGAAATTTACGTCATGTTTGTGACGTCATTACGTACATATGACGTCATTACTTATGAAAATATTCAGTGCTTCGAAGCTAGCATATACTCCCCTGTTTAAGAACTTAATTAAATATATTTCCATCAAAGTTTGATTTGGGGGGCAAATATTGGTTAATACCGCATAAAGTTCTTTAGCATCAAAATTTGTACACACACCTGTTGCTGGAGATTTGCGGTTTTTTTCTCCTATTTTTAAAGATATATTAAGCTTGAAAACTTATCTCCATTATATTTCATTCAAAGAACAATTACCACATTTGAACTAAAATGGAAACCCATAACACTAAAAAAAAAGTTATTAATATTGGAAACAACAGAAAAATTGTGCACAGAAGAATGACAGTCAGATTACTTATGGCACTGGCAAATTCTTCTTAGGCCTTAATTAAACATTGCATTCTGTTTCATTTTATTATTGCAACAGATAATAATATACACATCACCATTCATATACTTACTTAGTATTCTACTCTAATATGTTTATATAAACCAACTTGTTTTTTTTTTTAGATCATATGAAATTAGTTCTTATTTTCAATTTTTATCATCACATTACAAATCTTGAATTTCATTTCCCTCAACTGTTGATCTCAGTTACAAACAGTTTATGTCCTTTTTTTTATGTATTTGATTTTCTTCACTTGCCCACTTTCCCGCTCAGCTACAAAGAGGTTGTCTCTAGTGTCTACAAATAAATCCAATGGATGCTGTAGATCACAGTTATCAATGTAACATAGGAACTGTCCATCCTGATCTAGGATGTGGATACAGTGGTTGTAAGAGTCTACTGTCAGGATCTGACTCCGGTTGTCGGTTGTGATGCCAAATGGATCAAATAATCCCTTGTTAGTTGAGGGATGCCCAGTGTATCTAAATCGGAGTTTTCCTGTCTGATTAACAACCACTACTGCGCCAGTCTTCTCCATGTTTGGTGACAGCTGTTGTCAGTTTCACATAATGTCTTTCCAAGTTTTCTTTTTCAGAGTTCAAATCTAATGGCAGTTTTTCATATGTAGGAGAGATTCTTTTCTTTAGTTCTTGTAGGTAATTTTCACAATCTTTTGTTTTTGAACTAAGTTTCTGCAGAGCATCAGATAAATGGTGTCCTTTATGCTTACCAGAGGAGATGCAGGTAGAACAGACAGGAATACCACATTTCTCACAGTAAAGTTCACAATGGTTCTGGGCGTGGTTTGGACATTTTGGGTTGTTAATGTTGGGAGCAGAAGTTCTGTGTTTGTATAGTACAACATTGTGGCTTTTAGATGAATCAGAGAGATGTTTTACAAAACAGACTATACAGAGATTTATATTACAAAGTTCACAGTGACTCTGTAATGCAGCTGTTTGACACAGGTCACAGAGGAGGATGTCTTGGGCACTGTATCGGGGGTCCATCAATAGCGTTTGGGTCAAACAATTAGTGGACCCTGTAATTAAAATCAAAAGGAAATTTAGATCACGTGAATAAAGAAACTTACATGCAAGGCATATTTAAACCAAAACAATAGTAGTTTTTTCTAAAATTCCAACACGATTTAACAGTCGTCACAGTTTGGAAATGACAGTTAGGAATTATTGATCGGTGTTTACAGTTAAACAAATGCTCTGTCCACCTTAATTAATAAATATTGATATTAAAGAACAGAATGTTTGCAATTTTTTGTAATTACATGTGTTTACATTAATGTCATGAAAAACAACAGCTAGGATATTGCCTTGTAACGTTAAAATTTACTAAATATAATCTTGTCTCACCTCTAATTTCAAATTGGCCTTCCTGATATTCACGTACATCACAATTTACTTCTTTGTCTTCGTTTGGTTCTAGATTTTTACCTTCACGAAGTCATGTGATTTAAATACCTGAGATATGTATATCTGACGGTGTACAGGGGCTCGTTTCTCAAAAAGGCCTACGACCAGCCAGGCGTAAGCTTAGTCCGGACTAAACAATGACTAAACCCGAAAGTCAGACTAAGTTGTGTTTCACAAAAAGGAAGAAACTTACTCGAGACTAAATTTCGGTTTAAATCTAGGCATGCTAATGAGTAGGCGTAAGTTCTTAGTCTGTACACAACTTGGGAAAAGGGCAAGTGTTTTGATCATAAGTAGTTTTAAAGAACATTATTTTATATGTATACCATATAATTATTGCTATTCATATATATATGCACATAATTATATCATATGCAAAAAATCATGAAAATTAATTGACAACATATGATATTATGCTGAAAGGTTGTAGAGGATGCAGACTTTTTCCACCAAAGGTGGGATGAACTAAAAATTTGGTAATTAAGAATTTTGAATTCTAGTTTGGTAGGATTTTTTAAAAATTGAATGGGGATGAGGGGGTTGTTTTGAAATGGATAATGTGTCAATATATCCTCAAACAATATTCATTTTAAGAAATAGATTGAAGATATTGAGAAATATTCGGTAACAATGCTTTACACCAAGTAAATGCTTCTTTCATTTTCCCCTTTAATTGCATGTATCTAAATATAATATTAATAAAACATAAAATGCTCGAGAATTCTGTTCATCAAACTGTTCACTCATTGTCGAGAGGTGAGAAGTGCAGATGGAATAATCATTTTTAATTCTAATGGCTTGCAAAAGCTTAATAGTTTTAAATCGAAGTGAGGGAGACATGACGATTTCTTCACCCATGAAAAATCATATTCCCCGAGGGTAACGTCAATTATCATGCAATAATTATTTTATATACCGAATCAAGCACAATGCAGAAAATATAAGGAAAATCCAATAAATAAAGTAAACATATGATGAACACAATATGAAATACCAATAAATGTAAGTCACACCACTTGTGTTTCATAAAAAAATCCCTTCGTGACAAGTCATTCTGATTTACACACTGCAGTGTAGTAACATTCATTCCCCACTCAAGGAAACACTTTTCTAACTATTAATATTTTAAAGATTTTATATCGACATAATTAATCTAAGATTTAAACAATCGAATTCAGTATTAATCATCGCATTCGCCGCATTGAAACGTCACAATCGGGGAACACGACGTGAAACACGTTCTGTACACCTTGGCTGATTACATCTAGATGTAGGATAGCGTAGTCAGGTGAACCGAATGCGGGAAACACGAAGTTTTGTTGCAGGGCGAACACGACGGTCGCGTGACTGACTCAGCCAATCAGATTCCTCTTTACTTGTGTTTGTGTTTCTGGAATAGAAATCAAGATAACTTGATGCACTATCTTGTCATAGTACTATTCCAGAACATGAATAATTTAACGTATTTTTGAACCGTTTATTTAATTGTTTTTTATTATTATTATTATTATTTTATTATAAGTTTTGCAAAATATCAAGCTTGATGACTTCATAGAAAATTTATTATTATTTAAAGAAACAAATGAAATGATCACATATGCTCTGTTTAAGTTTCAACATGATGATGTGTTTTTTTCCTTCGCTGTAGTGATAGTTATGTATCTAATTATTTATATCAATATTTATTTCAAGTTGTTGTCCAGTTAATACAAATGAAATTAAAAATGTGTAAGATATTGGTTTATCACATTGTATATAGTTAATATAAATTATTCAGGATCAAAATAAAATATCATTCATACCATATTTGTTGTTGTGATACTAGAAAATTAATGAGATTTGTAATTTTCATAAAAGCCAAATTAACTGCTGTTTATTTGAAAAAAAAATGGAAGGATAGTTTAGGGAAAACTATTCCTCACTGAAATAGTCTCAAAAGTGTATGATGCACTCAGATAAAGCCACATGTCATTCAATAAATCAGAATTTTCGGTTAAATGTTGCTTAAATTTGGCTTTGAAACCAGTTGATGGCTCTAAAAAAGTTTAAGGAGGAAAAAAACCTGAGTTGTCTCTATACGGAACGCCCATTACTGAGGACTGTATACAGGCAACTTAGCCACATATGATTCTCATATGAGTATCATATGATTCTCATATGATTGGTTTCATATGAGAATCATAGAAAAAGGGCATCATATGTGAATCATATGAAGCAAATCATATGATTTACATATGATCCACTAATGTGAATCATATGAATATAACTACATATGACTTTCATATGAATGAATTAAGTGTGTTTCAAGCCATTTACATATGAGAATCATATGAAAAGGGTGTCATATGTAAATCATATGAAACACTTATGTGTGTTTCAAGCCATTTACATATGAGAATCATATGAAAAGGACATCATATGTAAATCATATGAAACACTTGTGTGTTCTTTTTCAATATTTTTCACATTCTTGTACACATTTAAAAATCAGATATTTCTGCTTTAGATGAAAATTCATTACATTACAATGATCTATCTTCATTGGTTAAATATTTTAAAATATCTTAAAATGCTTACACAATTTTTTTGATAAAAATATTTTCATCAAGAGAAATAACTTATTTTTCACGGTGTACATTCTAAACAAGAAAATTTACAAACAAGTCAGTAGCATTTGTCGATACATGTATTTAACATATTCTAACATGAGTACAAATTATAAGATTTCAGCAAAATGATTTAGTAGTTAAACATGTATACTGTACATGTACAAATGAATAACATATTTAGTTCATGTATAAAAATACCATATGACATGAAAGTGTCCAAAGCAAAATTGAAATATCAGCAATAACATGTGTCATGTATTCTCTATTGTAAATTTATGAAAAATCAAGTTATTGATTATTCCAGCATACAATAAGAATATGGGAAATTTTCACAGCTCAAATTCAGAAAAGATTGTGTACATCCTCCCCATTTCATAATTATTCCATATATTTCCTTGTTCTTTTTCCTTCTGTATCTTTCAATTTTTTCAGTTGTCCTCCCTTTGATCTTCCATGACCATTTTGAAAATCTCTTTGAACTGTACCGTACCAAAAATGAATATCCACCTCTTCTCCTCTTCCTGAACAATTTCTTTGTGGAACAGAATGGTCTCTACAAAAATTTCAGAAGTAAAAATAAAATAATTCTTAAATTCTATGAGTTATAAAAGTTACTTAGGTATAATAAGCAAACAAATGTATGCCCAATTCACTGACACAGATATGATACGGGATAAAACTAACGTTATATATGTTATACTAGGTGTTTTGAGGAATCCTATGATGTAATTTGCAAAACAATTACACTATTGAAAGATATGCTTCATAATAAAATCATAAAAAGCAATTAGTATGACAATTAAATTTGGAATGTTCAAACAGTATATATATTAATTCAGATTGTCAAAAAATTAAGAAGATTCTGATACAAATACATGTATATTATTTTTGGACAAAAAATACTACAAACAAGTAGACAGGCAGAAAAACAGACATTGTGATTCCAAGATATCCCAAACTTTTGGGAAGACTATAACAAAGTTTATTTAACAGTGTGTAGTTACCTTAACTTTGAAGCAAGCCTTGGATCTTGGGATTTGCTCTTTATCTTATGAGAGGCTGACTGTATATTGAACCTGTAAGACAAATACTCACAGTCTCACACAGTAGATATTTTCTAAGAATACATTTAATTAAAACTTAAACTATTAAAAAGAGAGATTAAGTTTGTAGGTTCTCTATAGTCTTAAATATATCTAACATTTAACCCGAAACTATAGGCATGCGCACCATTCACTAGTGTTTGGGGGAAAAAATAATTGTCAGTCTATGAATACAAAGATGTAAATATTCAATGGATAAGCTAGCTGATGTTCTTTCAACACACATGCACATGCATTTATAACGTCACTGTTATAAATTTTTAGTTGAAATTCAAAAATCCAATTTATCCCCCCTCTCCCCAAAAAGTTATTGTATACTATATAGTTTTATAGCAAAATCATACTTTGCATATTTTAAGTGCACTGGATTAAAATTATAATGTAGAATAAAATTTCTAGAGTATTGAGTTGAGTTGAATTTATTTTTGATGAAGCCATGCAAACAATGTAGAATTATAAAAGAACAAAAAAATCTAATAAAGAAATATTTTGTCATAAAGAGACATTACAGATACTTTGATTTTTTATTGCAAGTATTTATTTTTACCTTCAATATTGTGATGATGCAATCATCTGTCAAATCAGCTTCAGGATCAATCGCCAGTCTTATCAGCTTCGGGCTCTTTGGACTGAAAAAAACAGCACTGTGACACTGAACTCAAGTTTCCGAATGCATCTATAGGCCATAAAAACAAACATTTGTCATTAAGTTGAAGAAGGAATCCGGACTTGATAACGATCTTAAAATACATAACGCCAACTGACATACAAGGTTTCTACTTTCACTTTCATATCAGTACGTAACAAAACGTAAAAAGTAGTAATGCCTTTAGCCTAACATGTCCAAACTTACTTACAGATCACGAACGTTAGGTTTACGAAATGCATGCAAGTATTGAAGTAATAAGAATATTATGTAGAAAGTTCCATAATGAAATGATATTGAAACAATATGAATCAAAAGTCTTTAAAATAATATTAGGAGATCCGGAGATCACTTGCCTTTTCCAAACACCCAACAAGTCTGCTGCAGCAGTGACGTCAAAAATGACGTATATTTTATCAGATAAAAGACAAAACCGGCCCGGAGAAAAATACGGATTTATTTTAATTGTACTTAGCCAAACCCAAAAGATTTAAAATGAAAAGCAAATTAATTTATTCTTTATCTATTTTGTCTGGGAAATGCATTATAACAGAAAAAAAATTGTGAAAGGTTTTTTTTAGAAGGAAAGGAGGGGGGGGGGGGGGGGGTAGGGTAAACAGAGTAGAACTTTACATACAACTAACAAATTCTTTTGAATTAATG